AAAAAAAAAAAAAAAAAAAAAAAAAAAAAAAAAAAAAAAAAAAAAAAAAAAAAAAAGAGGATAGTAAACATCAAAGCATTTCTAAAGACGTCAAATCCATTAAGAATGACCTAGGCTATAGGAATAAATTTCAAAGACACAAAATTGAAGGCATGTGAAACAAAGACAAAGGGGTGACGGTATTCGTGATTATGCTACCAAATATCATGAAGTTGAAATATCCAAGACTTTTTTGAAAATTACTTTTAAATAGCTGAAAGCAAAAAAATTTAGCCTTCCAAAACTATGAAAATCACCCAAAATATACGCCTGACAAGTGGCTCTTCCAGTTCAGTTTCTTGGATATTAGTGCTCTTTTGAGAGAGGGAAAACCGTACCTTCAATTTGATCTCCAAACTATTCAAATTACGAAGAACATCTTTGACGTCCATCACTTTTGTACTTAACCCGCTATCATTTTGAACAATATCGTCCCTCACGGGTGAAATTGTACCTCGCAAATAAGGATCAGTCTGGAAAAATGGCAGATCATACAATGGTTAAAATGACCACAAAATTAGCATTCTCGACTTAATGTATTCACTGGTAAGTAAAATGACTTGTGAGTGTGAATCAATTCACTTATCACTTGCTTGCAGAAGCTCTATAATTTTGACGCGTCCGATTCCTCTGATGGTGACTAATGCCCCCACCTCTAGCCTCTCCACCTGCAATTTGCTGAAACTGCTCGTAGGACAAAGTATTTTCATGTGTTTATTACATTAACTAACAGTATTCTAAGTTTTGAAACTTACATTCTCAATTAAGATCAAACAAGCATGTCTGGCTGCAAATGATATTTCCCTTGATGAGTCACTGACAGCGACAGGATCCAACACAAAATGCACGAAAAGTTTGTTCTTCCTAAATAAAGACTGCAACCAGAATATTGAAGTCAGGGCTGATTTGATAGATAGAGAAAACAAAAGAAAAATATTGATGTCATAACATATACCGACTAATTTTTTTGAACAAGAAATAAACTTTTTCTTGATATATGAAAATGAAGAAAATGCTCAAAGATATAACCTCCCTGAAATGATGAAAAAGAAAAAGAAGAACTAATGGCAGAGGAACCAAACACAGAAAAATACAAGAGCCAAAAATGCCGATGGGCAAAACCAAAATACAAAGGCTAAAAACCAACAAACCAATCAACCACAGTGAAAATTACAAGGACTGAAGCAAGCACCATCAACAAACTTAACTGATGAATATGATAACATCAATAAAGGAAAAGCAGGAGATAGGAAGACCATCGGTGAAGGAAAGGATTAGCATGCATAGAAGAAGTTCCCTCCCTTCCAAACAAGGAGAAATCTTTTCTCTATCGCGCTATTTGCACAAACTCATTCCTTATGTTTGCTTCGAAGAAAGCAAAAAAAAGATGGAATATATTACACGGTGAGGAATGCTAGTCCAGACTCAAAATCGTCCCATAGAACAAGGACAAAATTGGTTCCAGCAACAGAACATCTCAAGGAGTTCAGAATATGTGATTTCATGGAATTTGAAAGCAAATAGACCTATATACAGAATTTAAGGCACTGTTGAGTAGAAGACAAAATTATGTTGTTTCCATCTCACTTGACTAGAAACAGAACTTGAGTCATCAGATATATTGAAAATTATAATATGACAGAATATTCTCCTCTTATCTCTTTTCCACTTAATTTTTTCTTTGGATAATCAGAAAACTGTCCAAAATAAAATCTGACTTTTGGTGAAAACAGATCGTCTATATCAATTGAAAAAATTGGGAATTAAGATAGAATATGTTAACATCATACCATGGAACAAAATTAGAAAAATAGTTGAAATAAGAAGGGATAAAGTGCTCTAAGATTATGAACTTACTAGCACAATAAGATTATGAATAAAAAAACATTCTATTGCATAACCAAATGGCATTACCATAATAAGTGACAAAAATTGGTATCTTTCTGTTTTAAATAGCTTTCATGGAGTAGCATCCACCGGGATGTTAGTGCACAAGAAAAGATTCAACAAGCAGTTGATTGACAACTTCACAAAAAGAAATACGAAACGATACAATTAACCAATCTGAAAATGAAATGCAATAATCTTAAGATTTCTTAAAAAAACACAGTAATTTTAAAGCATATCCATAGGGAACAAAGCTGCACAATGTCTACATAAGATCAACCAGTCTTAATTCCACAAATATGACATTATATAAAATAAATTGTGTACAAAAAGTAAGTACCTCGTCCAACAGAGTTAGATACCTTGCTTCATACAGATGCAGTGTTTTAGTCTCCGACGGAACAAGAACCTGAAAAAAGAAATGTAACTGAAGTTGAGAAGGAGAAATTGGAATACATTTTTTTCAATGGTGCGCCATACTGGATATGAACCTGATCAAAATTTATCACGAACAAGAAAGATGGTGAGTAATGAAACCTAGTGAAGATTTGATGGATGAAAAGATGATAGAAGAAATAGCTAAGAAAAATAGAAACAGAATCCACCATGAACGGAAAATAGAAAGTAAAAAATGTAAATAACTTGTTCTACATTATGCATTATTCAATTGGACCATCATTCCAATTGAATAGGGTAAAACAGCAAGATGGATAGATAGCATCGCGGATTGGTGGAAAAGAAGAGATATAATCTGTATGTTTATCACGTTGATTTTCGTTCCTGCTTCGAGGGTTGCGGATTGGTGCAAAGCTAATGTAGCAAAGAACAGGACAAATAAAAATTGAAATAAATGCAGAGAAGGAGTGGTTTACGTCATTGACGCCGAAGGGAAGCAGCGGGAGCTCCAGAGAGGCGGCATACGCAGAGAAATCCCGTTTTCTGTCGGCAGAAAGTAAAGGAGGCTGCGATTGCGAATCAAACATTGTGTTCCTGGCAACATGGAATCCATGGAAATGGTGTTGAGGAGAGAGGGAGAATGTAGTTCTACTTCTGGGAAGAAATGAAGAAACTCTCCAGGAATTGCAGACAAAAGTGGAAGAACCAGGGAGATGGAGAGAGATCCGTGTTTGGACGTTGCACGTCATGGCTTATCCTCATCCTGCTTACCAGTTTTCTCTTTATATATATATATGTAGAAGGTGAGCGAATATAGGTTTGAGGGGTAAAAGTTGTATGTGGCTAATTACTGAATGATCGCTAGTTTCATGAGTTTATAATACTATCTGTTTATGATACTATCTGTTTATGATCGCGAGGCCGATTAATTTAGAAAATAATCATGAATTTATAATATTATCTTCATTGGTACGAGGCCTTTCGAAAAAACACGAAGCAAAACTATGAGAATTTATGTTCAGAGTGAACAATATCATCAAGGTATCGAACAATATCATCTAGGTATCAAAGTCATGCTCTAAACTTCGCTATGTCAATAAAATCCTCTAATGTCGAACAAAAGTATTGTGAGCCGAAAGCATAGTAAAAAATAAGGCCCTAAAATAAAAGGAACTGAGCCTCGATTGAGGGGACCACCATCATTATTATTATTATTATTATTTTTTGATGAAGAGGGTCAAAGATATCTTACAAATCAACATGAATAGTATGTTTTGTGGCTCACATATTTTCTAAAACAAATTTCAAGACGTCATTGAATATAAAATTACTCTAAGCTAAGCATGCTACAAATTTTAATGATCTCAATACCATATCACTCTCATTTAAACAGGGTCTCAGTTCCTTCGTATATACATTTTTTTACTGAAAATTAATTAAAAAAAGAAAATGACATGATAAGCTCGAAGATTGAATTAAAATCCTAAATCAATAATATGAGAGGAAGGCTTTTGAATTAATCGTTCTAAGTCTAGGGTTCTAACTCGAGCCTCGTATTAGCAATATTTCATCGGACAATGATCGTGGTCTACTTCAGGCCTGTGCGTAACAAATAATTGTTTACAAATTATTAGAAGTAAACAAATTAAATTTAGGTGCTCTCAAGGCATCCTCATCTAAAATACTATTTTAAACGTCACTTTTTCCCACAAGAGGAAGAAAAGATTATACATCAATTTCATCATCAATCATGCCATGCTGCCGGCCATCACAAAATTAAGAATTATACAAGAACACTAAATGGGCAAAACACAACACATTCCTCAGCTAGGGGCATCCTGACCTTTGCTCTGATACAGAGTTTCTAATCGTTCCTTGGCTCTGTGAACTTTTGACTGAAGATAAAAGCTTCCAGTCTGAGCATTCTTTTCGAACAAAGCGTCATATTTCTGAAAAGATAACAAGGATTGTCAAACACCTATTCGTAATAATATATACAAGCTAAGGAACTTATTTTAGTGAAAAGCAATAGATATTTGACCTTCACAATTTCCTCCCAAGGCGTTTCTGGGGTGACGCCAAGAATCTGCCTGGCTTCTTGCTCTGTCATCACTTTGCTTGCTCTGCGAACGGTGTTTTGAATTGTTTCTTGAGCAACACCGGACTTCGAAGCATCTACACCACACGAAAAAAGATTTGTTATTCAGCATAATCATCTTCAACTACAATATCAAACTCTCCCTCATTAAAAAGTACAAACTTTGTATAAACAACTACATTTATCCAAGTACGTGTTCAATAGATTACAACACTACACCGAAACATCTCTAACCAAATTGTGGTCCGTAAATCACTTCTCACACCACATGCTCGAGAAATAATAACATTTTTTCAAAAGATCGAGGAAGATAATATTTAGTCTTTCAAGCTTGACCATAAAGGTAAAGGATGGATGTAAGATCCCATAAAGGTAAAGGATGGATGTAAGATCCCATGTTGGTTAGAGAGGAGAACGAAACATTCTTTGTAAGGGTGTGAAAACCTCTCCCTAGCGCACACGTTTTAAAAACCTTGAGGAGAAGCCCAAAAGGAAAAGCCCAAAGAGGACAATATATGCTAGCAATGGGCTTGGGCCCTTACAAATGGTACGAGAGCCAGACACTAGGTGATGTGCCAGCAATGAGGCTGAGCCCTGAATGGGGTAGACATGAGGCAGTGTGCCAGCAAGAACACTGGGCCCCGAAGGGGATGGATTGGAGGGGTCCCACATCGATTGGAAAAGGGAAAGAGCCCCAGCGTTCGCTAGACCCCAAAAGAGGGTGGATTGTAAGATCCCACATTGGTTAGGAAGGAGATCAAAACATTCTTTATAAGGGTGTAGAAACCTCTTCAACAGAGGTGTTTTAAAGTTTTAAAAACCTTGAGGGGAAGATCGAAAGGAAAAGCCTACAAAGAAGACAATATCTGTGAGCTTGGGCTGTTACAATGGAACTATAGGATGCTATAATCCAAGCCATTAACACTCAACCCTTGAACATATCACAGGCTAAAAAATAACAAATTCTCTTGACCAATTATAGAAAATCTAAGAAGGCATTATTCTCGCTTTCAAAGACGACGAAGGATGTAAAAGATAGAACTTCAGGATGTTAACATCCCCCAAGCACATTTAAAAAAAAAATGATGTCTATTCCAATATCACCTGAAGCAAAATTAACCTATGTGCACACAGAGCTTTGTTCTCATTGGCAAAATGCTTGTCCCCAAACTTACCCCATTTACATTAAAGCTTCTAATAGTTCAAAGACAAGGCGCAAGTTTCTTTTGTTCTACATGTCAAGTTTCAATCAAGCCATCCAAAAAAATTTACACCAATAACCATAATATTGAGGAAAAATTGGCCAACTTCCAATAGAGATAAAAACCCAAGGGTGGAATAAAAAGAGTGTACTTACTCGTAAGGGCTTGACGGTAGGCTTGAACAAAGGCCCTAGCAAGTATCCCAGAGCCCATCACAATTAAATTGGCAAGAATTTTTGCAGCCTGTCCAAATACATACAAGCAAAGAGGCTCTCTTATGGGAAGTTTTCAAACTGAATAAGACGATCTTAAAATTATGCAATACAATATCTACTCCTCTCCTCTGTCAAAATTGAAGTTATCGACAAAGCAGGAGTAAATACATGAGTTCTAATTAGAATAGCACTGATTTGATTGGTAAAAAGATCAATGTACACTCAAGAGAGAGATAATATGACACAAGATATACAAACACACTTCGAATATGCTTGATTTCAAATGGCTTTAAAAGGCGCAGAGGGCAAGAAACAAGCATCAAGAACCCAATATGTTCAGAATAAATATGAAGGAGACGGATACACAATATTCCCCTAGACGAAACTTCAGCCAGAGAAAATTTGGGAACGAAATGAAAGTTTGAATTAAACCCATAATCCATAATCATTCTGGAAACAAATTACCAAACGGAGGAGACGGATACATAATATTTCAGATAAAACTAACAAAATAAATTATGTTTATACAACCGCTCCTGATTCAATATCATTTTCTCATTATCTTAGAAATCGATCCACCATCAAATGAGAGGAGAAGAGAAAGAAAGTAGAGAGATACCATGATTAATTGGCTGGCCTCGATAACGGGTCCGAAATCGTTAACGCCGCTAGAACTGCAAAATCAATTAGAAAGTGGCGGATGGTTTTATTTAGGGCTTGAAAGCTCAAATAAAATATTTGGATTAGAAACAAAAATATCATACAGACTTGCCTTGTGATATGGAGGTTGCCAAAACTGGAAACCGACCCAACGTTCACCCTACTAGCGTCCGGGTGTGAGGGGAGGAGGTTGATAAGGATAGGGTGGCGCCGATGCGGCAAATCGTTGAACAATAGAGAGTGAAGAGAGGGAGGGGCGGCGGCGGCAAAGAGAAATTGGAGACGGCAAAGAGAAAGGAAGAAGAAAGGGAAGGGCGCCCTCTGCTTGCGGGGAAAGTTATGATGAATGTATTATTTTATATAAAAGAAATACTAATTTACTTAAA